TCAGATTGGGACGACAAGCTTTGTTCTGAGTAAACTGAAAAGAACTGGGGACATCTCCACTTTGAGTGGACACCATGGTACCCAAAGTGTCTTGGAAATGACCCTTTATCAACTATGCTTGTCAATTTTCAATTGATTCACTCAATTCTTAGAAAACCCAGATAATTCATAATCTTTAAAAATTTCATGTCCAGATACTAGGCAGGGTAATATGTGTGTTTCAATTTGCTAGTGTGGCCATAATGAAGCACCACACAATGGGGGACTTAAGAAACAGAAATTGCCAGCGGTGGTGGCTCATGCCTGTAATCCCAGCACTTCGGGAGGCTGAGGCAGGCAGATCACCATTTCAAGAGATAAAGACCATCCTGACCAACATGGTGAAACCCTGTCTCTACTAAAAATGCAAAAATTAGCTGAGCCTGATGGCACACATCTGTAGTCACAGCTGCTCTGGAGGTGAGGCAGGTGAATCGCTTGCACATGGGAGCTGGAGGCTGTAGTGAGCCAAGATAGTTCCATTGCACTCCAGCCTGGTTGACAGAGCGAGACTTTATCTCAAAACAAAAACAAACAAAGAAACGTGTTGTGTCACAGTTCTGGAGGCTGGAAGTCCAAGATGGTGGTGGTGGCAGTGCACATTTCTTCTGTGACTTCTTTACTTGGTTTGTAGATGTCTTCTCCCTTTGTCTTCACATGGTCATTCCTCTGTGTCTGTCTGTGTCCTAATCATCTGTTTTTATAAGGACACCAGTCACATTGAATTAGGGCACACTCACATGACCTCATTTTACCTTTATGGCCTCCTTAATGACCTCTCCAAATGCAGTCACTTTCTCAGGTACTGGGGTTAGGACAATAAACATGTCAATTTGGGGAGATACAATTTAGCCCAATACAGTCTGGATTATCCTTGAGTTTCCATTTTCTGAAGAATAAAGTAGAGTCAATCTCTTGGGCTTGACTCTGTCTCTTGATACTCTAAAATCTGGTTCTTACAATGAGAACAAAAAAAAGGAGAGCCAAAGCTTGGTGTCACCCAGAAGGTGAGCCCTCCCTAACTGTGGCTGCCCCAAGACCCAGTGCTGTGTCATTCCTGAAAGTCTTGCTTCATTCTAGTGATTCTGGCTCCAGCTTTTCAACTGGAAAGATAATTCTCTCACAGGGGAAAAACTTCTAATGCTGTGCAGGCTTCTTTTCTTCATATTTGCAGGACCAAAAAAACCCAAAGTTGATGTAATAAAAAGAATGTATGTGTCAAATTTTTGTGGTAATTATTTTTATATCCTTATCAATACCCCATATTGTGATGAATATGTTGGCTTCATTTAGATGGAAGGGACATGACAATGGACCTTATGAGCCAGGATTTCTCTGGGTCTTTTTATGGGATTCAGTCCCTGCCGTGGTGGGTGAAGGGAGAGCTCTTGGTGTAGGGTTTAGTCTTTACAACGAACAAGGCTGTTTGGGCAGCAGGTTTAGCTTTGGAAACTTGAAGGTTATGCCGAAGTGTGATCCTCCTCCCATTCAAAAGGTCAAGGTAGAGCAGGTTCTCATTCACGGTGCAGCGAGTGAGAGAAGGGAAAGTGACAGAGAACATCCTTTCACCATTTTGTGACACGCATGCATCCAAGTCTCTGGTGTTTTAAATAATTGAAACAGACCTGGACCCCTTATCTGTAAAGCAGAACTGTGGAGGAGGGAAGCACATCATCCCTGCTACTAGAGAGATCCCTGAAGAGAGATTTGTAAGCCCCCATTTTACCAAAAATGTCACACAATTTCATCAAAATAAAGTGACAGTGTGACTGTAGATGGGGCTTTATTTAGAGCTTTGACTCCACACCTGCTCCCTAAGACATGGTCCTTCCCCAGGATACTATATGTTGGGAACAAACAGTTCCTCTTGAGAAGTTTTACTTCTTTTTTCTTTGGAAGAAGCTGATGGAGGGAGATGAGGGAAGGAGATGTTCTTTGTTCTCAAAAGCAACTTCCTTGTCCTTGTACCTCCTCACTCCTAATTACCTTAGTCACTTGCTTGGTCACCAACTCTTCTCACCAGTCCCAATCTGTAGAAAATACACCTCTCCACTTACTTCCTTGTTCTTTTCTCCACAAGTAATCTTTCCCCCCTTTGCTGTGCCCCCACATACCCATACCTCGGACATGTCTCTTCCTGCTACGTTTATAACCAACACACACCTCCCATAGAATCTTATGAGAAATCACAAAAGATTCTTAGTTACTATTTTCATGAATATCCTTTTCTACCCTTGCAATTTCAACTTCTATGTGTCCTTAGATCCAAAGTGAGTATCTTGTAGCCAGGATATGGTTAGATATGAGCCATGGATAAACACATCCATTCTAGTAAGAATACATGAGAACACATCTCATCCTTACTGAGATGCAGTGAGGGTCTCTCCAGTACCAAGGGGTAAATGCAGAGAGAAACATGGAAGTGATGTCATTAGCTTATAGGATTTTAAGAAACATGACCCTTAAAAGCAGGAAGAAAACACATGATACTTGCAAAAAGTAAAATGGGTAAAAATCCCCTTTACTTTAGTAATGATTACAAAATAATTATTTCTCATAATTTCTAGAAAATTAGGGGAAAACTTACTTCCTCAGCATCTCAAGAAACTTAAGTGCAGCTTGTGATTATATATCAGATTGGGACGACAAGCTTTGTTCTGAGTAAAACTGAAAAGAGTGACCATGGGACCCAAAGTGGCTGGGAAATGACCCTGTATCATCTACACTTGTCATTTTCAATTGATTCACTCAAGTATTAGAAAACCCAGATAATTCATAATCTTGTCCAGACACTAGGCAGGGTGTTATGTGTGTTTTAATTTGTTAGGGCAGCCATAAAAATGTACCACACACAGGATGACTTAAAGAACAGAAATTGCCAGGTGCAGTGGCTCACACTTGTAATCCCAGTACTTTGGAGGGCTGGGTCCAGAGGATCACAAGGTCAAGAGATCGAGACCACCCTGGCCAACATGGTGAACCCCTGTGTCTACTAAAAATACAAAAATTAGCTGAGCATGGTGATGCAGAACATAGGAGAAAGAAAACTTCCTGAAGCTCAGCTTTCTCATGGCCCCTAAAAGGCTGAAATATAAAAATAGAAGTTTCTAGACAAGTTAAACAAGTATCAAAAGCATTACAGAAGCATAGTTTTATACCCTAAAACATCTATGCTATGCCTGGTGGCCCAGGCTGTAATCCCAGCACTTTGGGAGGCCAAGGCAGGTGGATCACATGAGGTCACGAGTTTGAGACCAGCATGACCAACATGGTGAAATCCTGTCTCTTCCAAAAAAAGCCCACAAAATTATAAGAGTAAGATGGCGTGCATCTGTAATCACAGCTACTTAGGAGGCTGGGGTAGGGGAATTGCTTGAAGCTGGGAGGCAGATGTTGCAGTGAGTTGGGATTGTGCCATTGCACTCCAGTCTGGGCCACAATAGAGAAAGTCCATCTGAAGGAGGAAGGGCAGGAATCTAGCTGAGACAGTATCTGACCAGACTAATTCAAACCAAATGTCTAAATTTTGAAGTCTTTTTTTATTGTATTTCATCAATAATTTAAAACTTACCTTTATATACTAAAGATTACTAAAGTCACATGAACTAAAAGGCATGTGAGTTGAATTTCTATTTCTATTTTGTGATGAAATATTTTATTTCAGTACATGCTTTTTTCTTTCTTTTTTTCTTTTTTTGAGTTTTTGAGTTTTTTTGTTTTTTGTTTTTGTTTTTGTTTGGTTTGACTTTTGCTCTTGTTACCCATGCTGGAGTACAATTGCACGATCTCAGCTCACTGCAACCTCCACCTCCTGCGTTCAAGTAATTCTCCTGCTTCAGCCTCCAGGGTAGCTGGAATTACAGGCACCCACCACCATGCCCAGCTAATTTTTTGCATTTTTAATAGAGATGGGATTTCATCATGTTGGCCAGGCTGGTCACAATCTCCTGACTTCATGTGCTCCACCTGCCTCAGCCTCCCAAATTGCTGGGATTTTAGGCATGAGCAATCACTCCTGGCCTGCTGTTACTTTAAGCCAGTTTATTAGAGCTCTTCTATGTATTTTGGTAATGGAACCATCACATATGCACATGACACATGTAAATACATACACATACAGGCACACAGATAGAAGTAGATCTTATAGATTTATAACATTCTTTGTTTGCCAATATTATTGTTTTATTTTTATGTTTTTGAAGATAGGGTCATCGTCTGTCACTCATACTGGAGTGCAGTGGCATGATCCTAGCTGATTGTAACCTTGAACTCCTGGGCTCAAACAATATTTCTTCCTCAGCCTCCTGATAGCTAGTGTTGCAGAATTTTGCTCCTTCGTTCAACTGTAACTGGGTTCTTGTCACATGACCAGGAAAGACTAGGCTCATGGACACATTGAGGGGTGAGTAGAGCAGGATTTGTTGGGTGAAAAGGAAATAGAAAGAAAAGAAAAAAAAGCCTCTCACAAATTGAGAGGGAATCCTGCTGACAGAACCCCAGAATTCAAGCTCACAGATTGAATTCCAGGCAACCACAACACAAGCTAAAGTGACCAGGCTCCTCCCTGCCTGCTGAAGGTATGAATTTATGAAAGCTCCACCCCATTCTCCCAGTGTGCAGGCAGGTTGGCAATTCTCGGGTGACCCTTTTTTAATCTGTGTACACATTTGGCTAGTGTAGACACTAGGACTACAGGGGCACACCGCCATGCCCAGCTAATGTTTTTCTTTTTTCTGTGTAACCAGGCTGGTCTCCAACTGCTGAGGCCAAGTGATCATCCCACCTTAGCTTCTCAAAGTGCTGAAATTATGGGCAGGAGCCACCATGCCTTGACTGGCTGGTGTGCAGTGGCACAATTCTGGCTCACTGCCACCTCTGCCTCCTGGGTTCAAACGATTCTCCTGCCTCAGCCTCCCAAGTAACTAAGACTACAGGCACCCATCACTATGCCAGGCCAATTTTTTATTTTTTTATTTATTTTTTTTAGTAGAGACAGGTTTCACCATGTTACCCAGGATGGTTTCAATCTCCTGACCTCATAATCTGCCCACCTCAGCCTCCCAAAGTGCTGGGACTACAGGTCTGAGCCACCATGCCCAGCCTATCATAGGATCTTATGAAGAGATCAATTGGATTTAGATAAGTGCTTTTAGTTTGGTCTGTATCTTTTAACTGGACCATTGGATTCAGGGTAGAGCCCAAACTGAATTTTGAATTCTCAAAAAGAGAGTAAGGCCTTGGGAACCTGGCCATGCAATATTTTTGGTGTGTTTTGCTACAGAAACATTATCCCTAGGCTGGGGGCAACCCAGTGCCAATCAGCCCACTCTGTGATCAGCCCATTTCCCAGCCATTATATACACCAGAGTCAAGCATTCTCACAATACAAAGTAATTTCTGATGCCATCCAAAGCCAAAATTAGGTCATGGAATGCAAAGGAACAGAGTTTTAGATCTGAGAGGTCTTTGTTCTCTCTTGGATTTCCTCTTGGGATTCCTGGAGGGAAAAACAGCAGTTTTTCACAAAAATGAGTCTGTGGTGCCTTTTGTGTTTTTCTTAAGGGATCTCAGGCTATTCGAGTTTTATTTTATTTTATTTTTTCCTTATATGGCATCAAGGTTGGCAAGAGGAAAGAGGGGCTGATAGAAATAAATAGGGAAGGCCGGGCACAGTGGCTCACTAATCCTAGTACTTTGGGAGGCCAAGGCAGGCAGATCGCGAGGTCAGGAGTTCCAGATCAGCCTGGCCAACATAGTGAAACCCCATTTCTACTAAAAATGCAAAAACTAGCCAGGTGTGGTGGCATGTGCCTGTAATCCCAGCTACTCAGGAAGCTGAGGTGGGAGTATGGCTTGAACCTGGGAGGCAGAAGTTGCAGTAAGTGGAGACCACGTCATTGCACTCCAGACTCCAGCCTGGGCAACAATATGAGATTCCATCTAAAAAAAAAAGAAAGAAAGAAATAAAGAAACAGAAAGTGCATATGATTAGCAGGGGGTTTAAGAAGAGAAACATTTAGTTGACTGAGAAATATTTATGCAGAGAGAACAGGGACCTTAAAACAATATATACACATAAAGTCCAAAACATTAAGTTTTAATTGTCAAGTTTTGACTACTGAGCTAAAAAAAAAAAGTCTTTCAAATCTTTTATTACCAGATGTTAGCCAGGAGGAGCATTTCATATTCCTGGCTTTTCACCTTCTTTACCAAAAGGTATCCTCCCGAGTGCCTTAACCAAAGTTATGACTATTAGGCTACAAGGTGGCCTTTGTAGTTCTCTGATGAGGGGGCAAACTGAGCCATGGCAGAAGTGTTCAATTTTTTTTTTTTTTTTTTTTTGAGATGAAGTTTTACTCTGTTGCCCAGGCTGGAGTGCAGTGGCATGATCTTGGCTCACTGCAACCTCTGCCTCTAGGATTCAAGAAATTCTCCTGCCTCAGCCTCCCTAGTAGCTGGGACTACAAGCAGGAACCACCACGCCAGGCTAATTTTTGTATTTTTAGTAGAGATGGGGTTTCACCACGTTGGCCAGGATGTTCTCAATCTCTCCACTGGGAATGCGGCAGCAGAAAAGAGAAGGTGGTACTGATTTCTCTGTTCCAAAGAGAAGGAAAATGTTTGTGTGTGTGTGTGTGTGTGTGTGTGTGTGTGTGTGTGTGTGTGTTTTCAGAATCCAGTAGACAACTTGCCAATATTGACAGGACTGTGAGAGGCCAGTGTGGCATTAAGCTTGGGACAGTAATGCAGTCTGTGAAAACCCCTGCTCCCCCACATCTGACAAAGAAAAGGATAGGCTGGTTTACCCAAATTTTATGTATAGGCTTCATAATTTCTTTCTTTTTCTTTTTGTTTCTTTCTTCTTCTTTTTTTTGAGTCAGAGTTTCACTCTTGCTGCCCAGACTGGAGTGCAATGATGTGATCTCAGCTCACTGCAACCCCGCCTCCCAGGCTCGAGTGATATCTGCCTCAGCCTCCCAAGTATCTGGGATTACAGGCACCCACTGCCATGTCCAGCTAATTTTTTGTATTTTTAGTAGAAATGGGGTTTCACTATGTTGGCCAGGCTGATCTCAAACTCCTGACTTCAGGACATCTGCCCTCCTCGAACTCCCAAAGTAATGGAATTACAGGCTTGTAATCCCACCATGGCTGGGCAAGCCTCAGTGTTTCCTGTGATCCAGAGCCTCACCACTGCCTATGCAGATCTGAGCAAACAGAAAAGAGGTCTAGAAAATCATATTAAACAAGCAAAAGTCATACTTATGGGATGAACACTCTATGCAGTGGCACTCTCTTCTGTGGCCTCTTCTGGATTGGCTGAGGGAGGTGCATGAGGACTGCAGACTTCACAGGGAGATAGTTTACTTGACACAGGATTGCTTTGATCAATACGTGACAGCACAGAATGTTGTAAAATCACTTTTACAGATGATTGGGATTTTATCTTTATTTACTGCAGCCAAACCTGAGGAAATCTGCTCTTCACAGTTGCCCCAGTGTGCAGCTTTGGGGCTTGTTCAGGACATAAAATTCTTACTGTGGAATGAGTGAGTGTGAAGGCCCCTGAGTGGTGCTTAAGTCCCCTGGCCACTGTGTCCTGGCTGAATGTATACATGCAGGTGGCGTCTCTAAATGGCTCATACAAAGTGCTGTTGCCACGGCCTCCCCAGCAAATGTTTACAGATTGCGGAGCTTTCAGATCTCCGTGTGCTGGATGCTGACTGCTTAGAATTTTCCTAGGATGTACTCACTGCTTCTGCCTTGTGTTTCTCTTTCCTTGAATTGACACAAAAGGTTTAAGAGCATCCGTGGTGTGACAGAGAGAACTGTGTCAAGTGGATGGTTCCATTTGCCATGGTTACAAGGGAGACTGGGAGCTCAGAACTGAAGCACTTCACAGGGGTTCCTGCTGAAGACGCACACAGCATACAGACCCACAGACACAGCTTGGATTTTCTGGACAAAGCCCAAAGAGAGCAACATTGTCTGAACAAAATAGGATTTCTCCTGTCTCCATTGAGGTCCTCACCCCTCTCCACAGAGCAGTAAAATGCACAGTAGAGGACAGGGAGCACTGTGGCCACACCAACATTCTCCACCAAAGGCACTGTGTGGAAGGGGCTGCTCAGCTCTGTTCTGTCTACTGCCGCAGAGGCATGTGTTAGCTTTTACAGACATGTAAATGGAAGATGGCATCTCTTCTGCAGTAGAAGTATTTCTGTGGATGGCATTGGGCAGGGAGAAGTGGTTTTGATTGACTGCTTAGACTTTTCTCAAGTTCAAGAAATTCTCCTGCCTCAGCCTCTTCAGCAGCTGGGATTATAGGTGCCCACCACCACATCTAGCTGTTTTTTTGTATTTTTAATAGAGATGGGGTTTCACCATGTTGGTCAGGCTGGTGTCAAACTCCTGATCTCAGGTGATCCACCCGCCTCGGCCTCCCAAAGTGCTTGGATTACAGGCATGAGCCTCCACATCTGGCTGCTTAGACTTTTAAAATAAATGAGTCAAGTACATCAGCCTCCTCCAGAACACCAGTAAGTGCTTCAGATGCTGCCAAGGAGGATAACGCTAGACTTGATTGGTTGTTGACACAATAGCACCAGCTTGAAGGTGAGGAGTGCAGCTGTTGCTGTTGGTCTCTCCTCGGGGGATCTGCACCGTGTGGTACTAAGTGGAGCAGGTAGTTGTGAGAAGCTTTTTGTGATTCAGAGCCACAGCTGGGGCTGCTCTTCTCACACTATCTGTTGACAATGCATAATGTCTTTTATGGATGCTTGTTTTCTAAGTGCTGCTATCCTTCTTTTTTTTTTCTTTGGAGGTGGAGTCTCGCTTTGTCACTGAGGCTGGAGTGCAGTGGCGCAATCTTGGCTCACTGCAACCTCCACCTGCTGAGTTCAAGCAATTCTCCTGTCTCAGTCTCTTCAGCCCCCCTCGATGGCACTGGTGTTGAAGTTATTTCCACATTCAATAGGATTCTTAGGTATAATTTCTTTCCTAGGCCTGGCTGAAGGTCATAAAGAATCTGTAATCAGCATTATTTAATACTCTTTTCACCGTTACGCATATCTTATTGTAAAGAATAAGTGGGCCAGGCACAGTGGCTCATGTCTGTAATTCTACCATTTTGGGAGGCTGGAAGCAGGCGAATCACCAGATCAGGAGTTCGAGACCAGCCTAGCCAATGTGGTGAAACCCCATTTCTTCTAAAAATACAAAAATTAGCTGGGCATAGTAGTGCACACCTGTAATCCCAGCTACTCAGGAGGTTGAGACTGGAGAACCGTTTGAACAAAGGAGGCGGAGATTGCAGTGAGCTGAGAGCAGAACATTGCACTCCAGCCTGGGCAACAGAGTGAGACTCCATCTAAAAAAAATTAATTTTGTTTGGAGAATTTGTTAATGTAGTAGCCTAAAGCTATGATTTTAAGAAAAAAATGCGCAGTAAATTTCTATGTAGCTGAAGGGCATGGTGTCAGTATACGGTCTGTTCCCTGGCCATTGATGGTACCACTAAGTGCCTTACTAATGGTCACTGTCCACCTGAAGGCCTAATGTGTACAGCTCCCATCATTGTTATTAGTATTTTGAGGCAGAGTCTTGCTCTGTCACTCACTGTGGAGTGCAATTGTGCAGTCTCAGGTCACTGCAACCTCAGCCTCCCGAGTAGCTGGGATTACAAGCATTGCATCGTATTTTGTTGGATATTACTGAGGTGGTGGCCTTATTAAGTCTTGTGTTTCCCTTCTAACAATGCTTCAGCATGTGTGGCTCTACATACAAGGGGGGGTTGAATGAATAAATAAATGACATGTGTGGTTTTGTTTTTAGAGCTATACCTTTGGATTATGGCAAACCCTAGGATATTTAAGTGAATTCCCTGAGGAATGTGAGCACTGTAAACAGGTGAGTGTGTTATTCTCTACTTCCCTCTCCCCACAGAGCAGTTGTTCACCATAATCCACCCTGACCCCTGCACTAGGAGGCACACCAAACAGCACCTGCCCCTCCACCAGCCCTTCTCTTCCCACCTGCCCCTGCCTCAGCACAGCAGATCCTCAGAATCCAAAAAGAAAACCTACTCTCCTGTTCTCTGTCTCTTTGTTTGTTTTGTTTTGTTTTGAGACAGAGTTTTGCTCTTGTTGCCCGGGCTGGAGTGGAATGGCGCAATCTTCGCTCACCACACCTTCCCTGCCTGGGTTCAAGTAATTCTCTTGCCTCAGCCTCCTGAGTAACTAAGATTACAGGTGACCACCACCAAGCCAGACTAATTTTTGTAATTTTTTTTGAAACGGGATTTCATCATGTTAGCCAGGCTGATCTCCAACTCCTGACCTCAGGTGATCTGCCCACCTCAGCCTCCAAAAGTGCTGGAATTACAAGCATGAGCACCGTGCCTGGCCCCCATGTTCTCTTAATAGTTTGCAATATCTGGCTGAGCACAATGGCTCATACCTGTAATCCCAGCACTTTAAGAGGCCCAGGTGTGCAGATCCCCTGAGGTTGGGAGTTCGAGACCAGCCTGATCAAAGTGGAGAAATCTTGTGTCTACTAAAAATACAAAATTAACCAGGCTTGATGGTGTGTACCTATAATCCCACATACTTGGAAGGCTGAGGCAGGAGAATTGCTTGAACCTGGGAGGCAGAGGTTGTGGTGAGCCGAGATCTGCCATTGCACTCCAACTAGGGAAAGAAGAGCAAAACTCTGTCTCAAAAAAAAAAAATAGTTTGTAATATCTTAGCACAGCTTCAAAGAAAGTATGTGAGAACAATAACTCATAGAGCAAGACATCTATTTAGAGTGAGTGAGTCACAGGGGAGATTTGGGAGGGAAACACTGTAACCCTCTCATTCCCAGAAAAGGAAGGTTGATCCAGGGAAGGGGACCCCAGGCCTGGATATTGGGACTCTGTGGAAAGGGACTCTGTGGAAAGGGGTTCTGGCGCATCAGGGGAATGGGTCCCTCTCCCTACATCCTCTCTGTGCTATGCTTGGGAGGAGGCACAGTTCATTAGCTGTGCAGCTGGGGGAAGAGAAGTCAGGATTCAGAGACAAGGGAGCTGAGAACAATCTGTGTCTTGTCGGTCTGCACAAGGCAACTCTCAACTGTGGAGAACACGGTAATGACCAGATTCAGCTCTGCCACTCTCAGCCTCGACACCCCGAGCATTATGGGCAGCCCATTGCCATCCCCTACCTTCAAATCCAGAGATCCCCTACAGCACAAAGCTGCTCCCCAGTCAACTCCCATTGACAATGGGCCCCAAGGATCACATTTCAGGAAGCTGTGAACACAACATCAGATCAGGGACCCTGTCACCACCTGGAGAGTGATAATAAAGAGGACCTGGCAGAGCCTGCAGGAGGAGACTGTATTTGAGGCAGGACCGTGGGATGGGTGAGGAACAGGACCGGGACTCCATCCTCTCTATTCCAGGGGTTAGAGATGAGCTACCCTCTGCTGCCCCTTCCTTGCTGGTTTTTATAAAGTAGACCCTCCTGATGTTCTTACAAGGAGAGAAGACCCTGTTAGGTGCCATGGTAGAGCTGGGCTCGAGGGTCAATGAATACCTGGTTTATATTGCTACCAGCTGAGATTAGGAAATTAAATCATTAAGCCCAGGACCCAGGACAGGAGAAAAAGACAGTGGAGGACCCTGCAAACAGTCTCCTGGGTGTCTGTTTGCAGAAAAGTTCTTTCCTTCAGGGTTCAGGGCACCCAGTATTGTGATTCTGAGTGTTGCTATCCTGCTGTTCTCATCTGTGAATGGGGCTGGACCCCTACCTTCCTCCAATATAAATAACTGGGAGGATCTGTCCACATACACCTGGTACCTACATATTAGTTAATACTGCACAAAAGTTTGGTTTAATATTTTATGTCTTGTAAGAAATAAACAAAATAGAAGGATGATATTTTTATTAAAGGTAATTCAGGTTATGTGAGAATCAGATTCCTGGGGCCATGGAAAACTTATCCGGATATTTAGAATCCTCATGGAGGATCAGGGGAGTACAGAGCCCAGAAATGGCCATGAGACCTGAAGCTCCCTCGTGTAAAGGATCCTCCCCTGCACTCTGGGGCTCAGGGGAAAGAGCACAGCTGAACCCAGGGTCTCCAGCCTCCGGCCTCTACTGTCAGCCTGCACTTTCTCAGCCTTCCTGGCTGCCAAGCTTCTGGTTCTCAGCAGCCTCCTCTCTCATTCTTCACCTCTTCTGATTGGGGCCATTGGCCACTTGACGGGCAGTTCCCTCCTTGTCAGTCTGCCTGGCTCCCTCTCAGGGTTTGTGGCTTGACTGGATTCACCATCCCCAGCTCCAGCAGGAACAGGGAGAAGGGACTCAGCAAGTGTCCCACAAAACAATGGGATCCCTACAGGTGAGAAGGGGCAAAGCCATCTCTCCAGTCTCTTTGGTACCTGAGAACTTCTTGCACATCCCAGCTCCAAGACCGGAGCAGGAAGTAGTGCTAAGCCGGAAATAGTTCCCATGATGCTTAGGATGAGCTTGGAAGGTGATTCTGAGAAGAGAATGAAAGGGGCCTGGACTGTCAGGTCAAAATCCTGACCCTGCCACAGGGTCCAGTGCAGCTTCCATTGTGCCAGTTCTGTGAAGGGATTCCCACCGTATACCCATTTTTACCCACCTCAGTATAAGGGGTATATCCTAAATCTGAGTCTGGTCCTCCCCTTTCCACAGTCAAATCAGCATAATCTCTGCTGGTAGAAGCCCTGGGCCCAGAATCTCAAGGTGACTTTCCCATCAGGTCCTGAGTGAAGGTGAATGCTCTGAGGACAGTCAGAGGCTGAGCCATATTGAGTCATATACAGTAGGATTCTCATGGATAGAGAACATTTAATGGGAATCTCAGCCAGCACCTTCTTGTGAGAGATCCAGCAACAATTTTCAAAGTTAAAAATAGGTTCAGGATAAGCAAGTTTCCTAATCTCTAATACCCTCTTTCTACAAACGTGTCTCACTGTCTGCAAAGCACTCTTTTGCTTTTAATCTTAATGATATTATTTTTCAGTTTTAAAAAAGAAAAAAAACCAAAACACCCTGGAATGAAGAATTTCTTCACGTGCACACCATTTTTCTTATGTGCGGTGCCTTTCATTCACATTTCTGTGCATTCACACATTTGTGATTGTACTTTTTTGTTTTAATTTAGAATCACTTGTTAATTCCACTGTCAAGTTAATATTGTCAATGGGAATTAAGATAAATTTTACATGCATTTCCTCAAAATTCATTACTTGATCCACTTATTCACTCTAAGCCCATGTTAACTGCCATTCTTTAAATCTCATCTTTTATTAATGCTTTCATTTATTAATTCAATCAAATGCCACTGAAGTTTATAGCAAAAGGCATCAAAGAAGGCAGAATGTTCCTATTTCTTCTGGGATTAATGAGAGTAGAATGATGTGAAGGGCAGAGGGACAAGAGGCCTCACAGAGGCAGACCAGATATAATGATACTGGACTCCCTGGCCAGAAACTGACTTGCAGGTTCAGGAATCAGGGTTCAGGATTCAGGAGTAAAGAATCCCAATATTTAGAAGATCTAATGGTCTCTCAAAGCCTTGCTCATTTGACCAGGCCTAAGAGCCTCACATATTTTGCTTTGAGGATCCAAGATTAGAATTTGACTGTCTCTGGGACATTTCATGTTATAGAAAGCCCAGCAGGTGTAGACAAAGGGTCTAGAGGGCACCAGCCACCCTTCCATGAAACTCTCTCTATTACTTACATTGACCACATCCTCAGAGATTTAGTGAAATGGCTATGTTGCCTCTGAGTGGAAGTGAGGGGAGGTCACTGGGTAGTCAGAGATTTTGAATCCGTGTCCTTTCCCTTCATCTCACTTGTGGAAGCCCATGAAAAAAAGACACAAATGTCAGAGGTGAATCCAGTCCCTTGGATCCATTGTTGTCAGAGAACTGAAGCCAAGTGGCCCAACAGTAATGAAGTCTATGAGGCTTTGGTCCCCTCAAAGCTCTCCTCCATTAGGAGCTTCCTCTCACTGTCATCAGGGACCACAGGAATTGGACATGGAATTCTTTGTCATGTCTGATGAGGAGTTGGAGAGGTCCCAGAGTATATAGACCTTGATCAAATTGGAGCCAGAGTGGAGTCAGGCAAAACTCTGCACTGACTCAGAGGCACCAAGTATGAAATAAAGTCTCCATTCAGAGCTTCCACCAGGGCATCAAGCTCAGTAGCAATTCCTTTCTGCTGTTGCTATATTTGCCCTGTGACAACTGGTACTTGAAGTAAGGAGAAATAGTTATGTGTGCAGGAAAGCACATGCAATGAGAAAACTGGGACATGATTTGTTAGGCAGGAGGGACTCTTTTCTCTTTCATGGTAGATATGGTACTCTGTCATCTATGCCCTGATGTCTCAAGCACAGAAGGTAAATTTCTTGCTCTTAGTTGAGTGGCCAACATTGGGAGCTGAAATTTAGAGAATCAGTGGCAGCCTCTCTCCCTCCATCCCCCATCTCAGTAAATCTAAGGCAAGGGCTTAGGGCTTTTGCACTTTATTTTCACCATGCATTTTCCTTATCTGGTTAAGAAAATAACAAAATGGTTGGGATTGCATCTGTAATCCCAGCATTTCAGAAGGCTAAGATGGAAGGATCACCTGAGGTCAGGAGTCCAAGACCAACCTGGCCAACATGGAAAAACCCCATCTCGACTAAAAGTACAAAAATTAGCCAGGCATAGTGGCATACACCTGTAGTCACAGCTACTCAGGAGGCTGAGGCATGAGGATCACTTGAACCTGGAAGGTGGAGGTTACAGTCAGCTGAGATTGTATTGCTATACTCCAGCCTGTGTGATAGAGTGAGACCTTGTCTCAAGAAAAAAAGAAAGAAAGAGAAGGAAAAAGAAAGAAAGAAAGAAAGAAAGAAAGAAAGAAAGAAAGAAAGAAAGAAAGAAAGAAAGAAAGAAAGAACATATCCAAAGGTATAAAAATCAAGAGTTGCAATTCTGCAATTCTGGTGGCACCCAGAGTACTGGACTAGACCAAGGGTGCCATGTGCTTGTCACTGCCCCACCACTCAATGGCTGTGACCTCAGGAGAATGTTTCCAAGTCCTGGTGTTTTTTAATTCATCTGTGAGTCATGGAGAAACACATCCATTCTACTGAGAGTAAATGAGAACACATCTCATCCTTACTGAGATGCAGTGAGGGTCTCTCCAGTACCAAGGGGTAAATGCAGAGAGAAACATGAAAGTGAAGTCATTAGCTTTTAGGATTTTAAGAAGCATGACCCTTAAAAGCAGGTCGAAAATATATAATACTTACAAAGCCCTGAGTAAAAATCCCCTTTTACTTTAGTAATGATTATAAAACAATTATTTCTCCTAATTTCTAGAAAACTAGGGGGAAAACTTGCTCTTCAGCATCTTAAGAAACTTAAATACAGCTTATGATTATATATAAGATTGGAACCACAAGCTTCATTCTGAGGAATCTGAAAAGAAATGGGGACATCTCCACTTTTTTGAGTGGCAACCATGGGACCCAAAGTGGCTTGGAAATGACCTTTTATCATCTATGCTTGTCAATTTTTAATTGATTCACTAAATTCTTAGAAAACCCAGATAATTCATACCCTGGAAAAATTCCAGGTCCAGATACTAGGCAGGGTAATGTGGTTTAATTTGTTAGGGAAGCCATAACAAAGTACCACACGCTGAGTAACTTAAACAACAGAAATTGCCAGACACAGTGGCTCATGCCTGTAATCCAAGCACTTTGGGAGGCTGAGGTGAGTGAATCACAAGGTCAAGAGATTGAGATCATCTTGGCCAACATGGTGAAACCCCATCTCCACTAAAAATACAAAAATGAGCTGAGTGTGGTGGTGCATGGAGTAGCATGAGCTACTCAGGAGACCGAGTCAGGAGACTCACTTGATCCTGGGAGGTGGAGGTTGCCTTAAGCCAAGATCGTGCCATTGCACTCCAGCCTGGTTGACAGAGCAAGACTTTGTCTCAAAAACAACAACAAAACAAACAATTTAAAAAAACAGAAATTTATTGTATCACACTGTTACGGTTCTGGAGGCTGGAAGTCCAAGATAATGGTGTTGGCAGTACACATTTCTTCTGAGGCCTGTAGATGTCTTCTCCCTAGGTCTTCACATGGTCATTCCTCTGTATCTGTCTGTTTCCTAGTTTTCTCTTTTTATAAGGACGCCAGCCACACTGAATTTGGGCCCACTCATATGACCTCATTTTACCTTAATGACCACCTTAAAGATCTCTCCAAATGCAGTCACCTTCTCAGTTACTGGGGTTTAGGACATCAACATGTCAATTTGCAGGGATAGAATTTGGCCCATAACAATCTGGATTATTCTTCAGTTTGCATTTTCTAAAGAATAAAATGGAGTAAATCTCTTAGGCTTGACTCCGTCTCTTGACACTGTGAAATTTTGTTCTTGCAATGAGAACAAAAAAAAAGGAGAGTCAAAGGTTGGTGTCACCCAGAATGTGAGCGCTCCCTAACTCTAGCTGCCCCAAGACCTAGTGCTGTGCCGTTCCTGCAAGTCTTGCTCTATTCTAGTGATTCTGGCTCCAGCTTTTCAACTGGGAATAGGATTCTTTCCAAGGGGAAAAACTTCTACTGCTGTACAGGCTTCTTTTCTTTATATTTGCAGAACAAAAAAAGTTGATGTAATAAAAAGAATGTATGTGTCAAATTTTTGTGATAATTATTTTTATATCCTTATCAATACCCCATATAGTGATGAATACGTTGGCTTCATTTTGGTGGAAGGGACATGACAATGGACCTTTTGAGCCAGGATTTCTCTAGGTCTTTTCATGGAATTCAGTCCCTGCCATGGTGGGTGAAGGGAGAGCTCTTGGTGTAGGGTTTAGTCTTTACAACAAACAATGCTGTTTGGGCAGCTGATTTAGCTCTGCAAGCTTGAAAGTTATGCAGGAGTGTGATCCTCCTCCCCTTTCAAAAGATCAAGGTAGAGCAGGTTTTTGTTCATGGTGCAGTGAGTGAGAGAAGGGAAAGTGACAGAGAACATTCTTTCACCACTTTGTGGCATGCACACATCCAAGTCTCTGGTGTTTTAAATAATTGAAACAGGCCTAGATACACTTATCTGTAAGGCAGAACTGTGGAGGAGGGAAGCATATCATCTCCACCACTGGAGAGATCCCTGAAGAGAGATTTGTGAGTCCCCATTTAACCAAAAATGACACAAAATTTCATCAAAATAAAGTGGCTGTAGATGATTATTTAGAGCTTCAACTCCACACCTACTTCCTAAGACATGGTCCTTCCCCAGGATACTATATGTTAGGAACAAATAGTTCCTCTTAAAAATATTTACCTTTTTGTTCCCTGTTCTCCAAAGCAAGTTCCTTGTCCTGGAACCTCCTCATCCCTCACCTTCATCACCTGCTTGGTCAACAACTCTTCCCACCAGTCCAATCTGTAGAAAAATATGCCTCTCCACTTACTTCCATGTTCCTGACCCTGCGAGTAATCTTTCCTTCCTTTACCATCTCTGGACATGCCTGGACATGCTTAAACATCTTTCTCTTCACCACTTTTGTAACTGATCTGTACCTCCCTTATTTGGAAATTGCTAAACAATATCCAATCAAGGTCAACTTAGATTGTGCAGTCCAATCCCAGCCAATGGGAAAGGCCACAGAAGTGGTGACTTCATTAGGGATAAAAAAAACCCCTGCTGTCCTTTGTTCAGTGTGCACTCTACACAGCCAAGAGTGTGAGTGGCACCATTCTGCAGAAGTAAATTTGCCTTGCTGAGAAATCTTCATTTAAGTGCTTATTTTCTTTGCAACTCTGAGCAATTGTTTCCAACATATAAAATCAAAGGACTTTGACTTGAGCAGTAAGGCATGATGGTGTTATTCCTTTCTGACAGATGGGATATTTTAGGTTGCATGTATTTTCCAAAGATGGTTGCAAAAATATCTTTCATCACACTTGGTTTTTTTAGTTTGACCCACCACTCCCTCATCAAGAGGTAAGGTCTCTCCACCCGCTTAAACATGAGTAGATCTGTTATCTGCATTAGTCAACAAAATATGGCAGAAGCCTGGTTGTGTCAGTTCTGGACACTGGTATTAACCATCTTGGCTGCATCTGTTTCCCTTCACTTCAATCCCTGAACCATGTAAAACTCCCAGGCCATCAACTGAGTCCAGCCTACACATAGACCCCTAAGAGAGATCATAAAAAATTCTTAGTTATTACTTCCATGAATATTTTTTTCTATCCTTCCAATTTCAACTTCTATGTGTCCTTAGAGTCACAGTGAGTATCTTGTAGTGAGGATATGGTTAGATTTTTTTTATTCTATCCATTGTGATAACCTCTGAGTTCTGATTGGGGAGTTTAATCATTTTACATTTAAAGTAATTACTGATAAGGCAGGACTTATTTCTGTAATTGTGATGTTGGTTTTATGCATGTCTTGTAGCTCTTTCATCCCTCATCTCCTTAGTTCCAACCTTCCTTTGTGTTTAGTCAATTTTTTTCTAGTGGCATGTTTCTATTGCCTTCTCATTTTCTTTTGTGTATAGTTTATGGATATTTTCTTTGTCATTACTATGATATTGTATATAACAATACAGTTATAACAGTCTTGAATTGAAATTAACATGAAAACTCTGCTTTTTTACATCTTTTTCCACCTCTCATTTTACATTATTGATGCCACAAATTACACCTCAGCAGGCTGGCAGGCTGGAAAGTCACAATGTTGCAGTCTTCAGTCTAAAATTTGTAGACCAGGTTGGCAGACTGGAAACCTAAACTGTAGTTGCTGCTATCACCTTGAGGCAGAATATTTTCTTTTCTGGGAAGACTCACATTCTGCCCAGGCCTTCAGCTGATTCAGAAAGTATCACCCACATTTTTTTAGGGTGATTTCCTTTTTATAAAGTCAACTGACATCAGATTTTAATCACAATGGCAAAACACCATCATTGCAACATATAAATTTAGTGTTTGATTAAATAACTAGGCACTATGGTTTAGTGAAATTAACACATTAAGAGCCATTATCCCAGTCCAGGCTTGTGAACTTGGCATCCATTAATGTTTTCTTAAACCATAGTCTCCAAATAAAAACAACCATAAAGTCATATGTTTGCCAAAGATTATACAACTATCTTGCATTCAACTAAAAACACACTGACCCTTTCCTCAGAAAAAGATTCAAACTGAATGCATGATATGCACTCTTCTCTTTGATATACTGTAACCTAAATACTATGTTTAATAAAAGGTAAACCATCATTAATAAAATGGAACTCTTGTTATCACATTTTATGTTTTGTTACAAGATGATAAGGAAAATATGAAAACAAAGATATTTCTTTAATACATGTATGGATACATACACACAGACATAAATATCATTATATAAACATTAGAAACGGAGGATCCAAGATGGCAAAATAGGAACAGCTCCATAGTGCAGTTCCCAGCAAGAACAACACAGAGGGTGAGTGCCCACTGCATTTCCAGAAGAATTTTCATAGCCCACAGACCAGGAGATTCCCAGGCCGAAAAGTGCCACAAGTTTTCAGCATGGTGGTTTCAGCCAGTGCTGCGTTGGCACACAGAAACACGCAAATCTGGGCAGCCATTCCAACTGGTGCCTGGAATGCCTGGGAGACCGAGCCACCAATTCAACTGAAAGGGAGGGGGCAGAGACAGGGAGTCAGGCAATCTGGCTCAGCAGGTAACACTCCCACAAAACAAGCAATCTGAAACGCTCTGGATTGGGAGTTGCACGGCAAGTGCAGCTGGAGCTGGGACAGTCCAGCTCAGTTGGGGGAAGGGTGACCACCACTACCTAGGCAGTCTGCCACTACCAAGGCGGTTCACACAGCAGCTGGGCAGAGCCTGCAGCATCTCAGCAGTGCCTCTCCTGGCAGACTGTGACTAGACTACTCTGTACAGGGCAGGGCATCTATGAAAAAAGGCAGCAGCATGAAAGAAACTTATAAATAAAGCTGAACTTCCTAGGACAGAGCACCTGGGAAAAGAGGTGGTTATGAGTTCTGCTGCAGCAGACTTAAAAGTACCTGCCCAGTATCTCTTCACTGAACAATGGAGCTCCCATCACAGCACTTGAGCTCCTATAAGGGACAGACTGCCTCCTCAAGCAGCTCCCTGACCTCCATATTCTCAAAGAGACACTTCATAAAGGAGAGCTCAGGCTGATATCTGGCAGGTACCCTTCTGGGATGAAGATAATAGAAGAAGAAACTGGCAGCAACCCTTACTGTTCTGCAGCCCTTGTGGGTTATCCCCAGGCAAGCAGTGTCTGGAGTGGACCTCCAGCAGTCCTTCAACAAAGGGTCCTGACTGTGAGAAGGAAAACTAAAAAACAGAAAGAAATAACTTTATTATCAACAAAAAGAACATCCACTGAGAGACCCCATCTGAAAGTCACCAACTACAAATACCACAAAGAGATAAAGCCACTAAGATGGGAGGTGCCATGATCACTGCCCAGAGAGAAGGAGGTCGGCAGTGCAAGGAGCTGCTATGGTGCTGAGTTCCCCGACAGAGCCAGCCGAGCTGAGGTGGTTGAGGCCATGAAGGTGGGGGAGTGGTGCTAAGGATCATGTATACTGTTTAAAAAAAAATAACCCAAGCATGAGACTGCTGAATGAAGTCATGGGAACTGGAGCTGTCAGGGACCAGCAGTCAGGATTTGCAGGAGCCACCAGTCCATTCAGAGTTACACCAAACCTTGATTTTTCCACCTACCCACCAGCAGATACGGATTGGCCCAACATAGTTTGCAAAGCCTGTGGACTTTCATTTTCAGTCTTTAGAAAGAAGATACAAAGTGAAATCACTTCAGCAAACACAGATGATGATGAGGAGGAGGAGGATGACTATGAAGAAGAAGAAAACGCAGATGATCAGACCCCTGGGCTCTCCAAGGAGAGAGTGAGAGCTTCACTGTCTACCTTGTCAGGCCTTGATGATGTGGAAGGGATGAGCGTGCACCAGCTAAAGGAAATTCTCTCTTGGAATTTTGTCAACTATTCTGGCTGTTGTGAAAAATGGGAACTGGCAGAGAAAGTAAACCGGTTATACAAAGAGAATGAAGAAAACCAAAAGTCCTATGGCTCCAGCTACAAGATGAGGAAGATGACAGCCTGTGTTGCATCTGCATGGATGGCGTCATTGACTGTGTCCTGCTGGAGTGTGGGCACATGGTTACCTGCACCAAGTGCGGCAAGCGCATCAGTGAGTGTCCCATCTGCCAGCAGTATGTGGTGCGAGCTGTGCACGTGTTCAAGTCCTAAAACTGAGGCTCCCCTCAACAGGACAGTCACCCCCAAACTTGACCCCAAATATTTCAGTGCACAGAAGGAACTAGAAAATTACTGTTCAAAGGCTGAAGCTATTTTTAAAAATTATTTTCACTACTAAGTGGGTGCAAAAAGATCCATACTGAGTTGTGGAAACCTTGGTCCATGCCGTGAGCCTGCCTACCTGTGTACACATGAGCTTCCCAGGCTCAGCTAGACTTTATCATACATCCCATGAACACTCATTGAAGTCAGCCTGTTTGCACCATGTGGGCATCAGCCACTGCTGTCTTTGGAGGACAGTTATCCTGTTCTCTTATTTCCCCTTCATCCTATTTTTAACTTAAACTGCTCAGATGTTTGAAACTTCTGTCCTTTTTGGATGAGATAAGTGTTCACAAGTGGCCGACATGGAACATGCTGAGCATGGGCTCCTCTGAATGTTCACTTTACTAGTCATGTATATTTTAAATGCTAATATTTGATGAATGTAAGTTTCCACATTGTTGCTGTTTCTGCATTTAGACATAATTGGGAACAACTGACATTCTATAGTCGACTGCCAGGGCCTTAGACTACACATGTCCATTTTTGTTCAGGTATAGCTTTTTATAGCAAGGGCTGCATCTAGCTTCTTTTATTAGAAGTGTGTGTGCGAAATTCTATATTAGTGTGTAATCAGTTTACACTGTTTTGTAGAGTAAAGGTGTATTTTTAGTGCTACCCACTAGCTGATTTTAACTTTAGAAATAAAATTACTTTTAAAAGCAAAAAAAAAAAAAGGCCACTAAGATGGTAAGAAACCAGTGCAAAAAGGATGAAATCACCAAAATCCAAAATGTCTCTCCTCCTCCAAAGGATCAAAACTCTTCACCAGCCAGAGATCAAAAATGGATAGAGAATGAATCTGATAAATTGATGGAAACAACCTTCAGAAGATGGGTAATAGCAAACTTCTCAGAGCTAAAAAAACATGTTCTAACCCAATGCAAAGAAACTAAGAACCTAGAAAAAAGATTAGATGAGATGCTAACTAGAATAAGCAGCTTAGAGAAGAATATAAATGACTTGATAGAGCTGAAAAACACAGCACGAGAACTTCATGAAGCATACAAAAGTTTTACTAGTCAAATTGACCAAGCAGAAGAAAAGCTATCAGAGATTGAAGGTCAATTCAATGAAATAAAACAAAAAGGCAAGAATAGAGAAAAAAGAGTGAAAAGAAATGCACAAAGCCTCCAAAAAATATGGGATTATGTGAAAAGACCTAATCTATGTTTGATAGGTGTACCTGAATGTGACAGACAGAATTAATCCAAGCTGGAAAACACTCTTCAGGATATTATCCAGGAGACCTTCCCCAATCTAGCAAGCCAGTCCACCATTCAAGTCCAGGAAATACAGAGAATGCCAAAAAGATACTCCTTGAGAACAGCAACCCCAAGGCACATAATCATCAGATTCACCAGAGTTGAAATGAAGGAAAAAATGCTAAGTGCAGCCAGAAAGAAAGATAGGGTTACTCACAAAGGGAAGCCCATCAGACTCACAGCGGATCTCTCAGAAGAAACCCTACAAGCCAGAAGATAATGGGGGCCAATATTCAACATCCTTAAAGAAAAGGACTTTCAACACAGAATTTCATATCCAGCCAAACTAAGCTTCATAAATGAAGGGGAAAGAAAATCCTTTATGGACAAGCAATTACTGAGAGATTTTGTCACCACCAGGCCTGACTTACAAGAGCTCCTGAAAGAAGCACTAAACATATCAAATGGTAAAGAGCATCCACACAATGAAAAAAAATGCATCAACTCATGGGCAAAACAACCAGCTAGCATCAAAATGGCAGGATCAGATTCAGACATAACAACATTAACCTTAAATGTAAATGGGCTAAATGCCCCAATCAAAAGACACATACTGGAAAATTGGATAAAAAGTCAAGACCCATTGATGTGCTGTATTCAGGAAACCCATCTCACATGCAAGGACACACATAGGCTCAAAATAAAGAGATGGAGGAATATTTATCAAGCAAATGGAGAGCAAAAAAAAAAAAAAAAAAAAAGCAGGAGTTGCAATCCTAGTCTCTGATAAAATGGACTTTAAACCAACAAAGATCAAAAGAGACAAAGAAGGGCATTACATAATGGTAAAAGGATCAATACACCAAGAAGAAATAATGATCCTAACATATAGGCACTCAATACAGGAGCATCCAGGTACATAAAGCAAGTTATTAACTACCTACAAAGAGACTCAGACTCCCACACAATAATAGTGGGAGATTTTAACACTCCACTGTCAATGTTAGACAGATCAACGAGACAGAAAATTAACAAGGATATACAGGACTTGAACTCAAATCTGGACTAAGTGGACCTAATACACATCTACAGAAATCTCCACCTGAAATCCACAGAATATACATTCTTATCAGCACCACATCACACCTACTCTAAAATTGACCACATAATTGGAAGTAAATCACTCCTCAGCAAATGCAAAAAATGGAAATAACAAACAGTCTTTCAGACCACAGGGCAATCAAATTTGAACTCAGAATTAAGAAACTAACTCAGAACTGCACAGCTTCATGGAAACTGAACAACTGGCTCCTGAGTGTCCACTGGATAAACAATGAAATGAAGGCAGAAATAAAGAAGTTCTTTGAAACCAAAGATAACAAAGACACAACATACCATAATCTCTGGGACACATTTAAAACAGTGTCTAGAGGGAAATTCATAGCAATAAATGCCGACATGAGAAGTGAGGAAAGATCTAAAACTGACACCCTACCATCAAAATGGAAAGAGCTAGAGGAGCAAGATCAAAAAACAAAAACTCAAAATCCAGCAGAAGACAAGAAATAACTAAGATCAGAGCAGAACTGAAGGAGATAGAGACACAAAAAAAAACCCTTAAAGAAATCAATAAATGCAGGAGCTGGTTTTTTGAAAAGGTCAACAAAATACACAGACCACTAGCCAGATTAATAAAAAAGAAGAGGGAGAAGAATCAAATCCATGCAATAAAAAACAATAAAGGGGATATCACCACTGATTCCTCAGAAATACAAACTACAATCAGAGATTACTACAAACAACTCTATGCACGTAAACCAGTAAACCTGGAAGAAATGGATAAATTCCTGGACACTTGCACCCTCCCAAGCCTAAACCAGGAAGAAGTTGAAACCTTGAATAGGCCAATAACAAGGGCTGAAGTTGAGGCAGCAATGGTCTACCAAATAAAGAAGTCCAGGTCGAGACGGGTTCACAGCTGAATTCTACCAAACATACAAAGAGGAGCTGGTACCATTCCTTATGAAACTCTTCCAAACAATACAAAAAGAGGGAATTCTCGGGGTCCAAAATGGCTCCCGCTGGAGGTCGTGGTGCTTGCGAAGGCGAGGTCATCAGTTCAAGGCTAACCTGAGCAACCTCATAAGCTCAAACGGATTGGCAAAAAAAAAAAAAGAGGGAATTCTCCCAAATCATTTTATGAGACCAACATCATCCTGATACCAAAACCTGGCAGAGATTCAGCATGAAAAAGAAACTTCAGGCCAATATCCACGAGGAACATAGATGCAAAAATCTGCAATAAAATACTAGCAAACTGACTGCAACAGCACTTCAAAAACTTTATCCATCACAATCAAGTAGGCTTCATTCTGGGGATGCAAAGCAGGTTCAACATACACAAGTCTATAAATGTAGTCCACCACATAAACAGAACCAAAGGCAAAAACCACATGATTATCTCACTAGATGCAGAGAAGGCCTTTGACAAAATTCAACAGTGCTTTGTGCTAAAAACTCTCAATAAACTAGGTATTGACAGAATGTATGTGAAAATAACAAAAGCTATTTATGACAAACCCACAGCCAGTATCATACTGAATGGGCAAACTGGAAGCATTCTCTTTGAAATCTGGCACTAGACAAGCATGCCCTCTCTCACCACTCCTATTCAAGGTAGTATTGGAAGTTCTAGCCAGGGCAATTAGGCAAGAAAAAGAAATAAAGGATATTCAAATAGGAAAAGAGGAAGTCAATTTGCAGATGACATAATTGTATATTTAGAAGAACCTATCATCTCGGCCCAAAACCTGCTGAAACTGATAAGCAACTTCAACAAAGTCTCAGGATACAAAATCGATGTTCAGAAATCACAAGCATTTCTATACACTAATAACAGACTAACAGAGAGCCAAATCATGAGCAAACTCCCATTCACAATTGCTACAAAGAGAATAAAATACCTAGGAATACAACTAACAAAAGATGTAAAGGTCCTAGTAAAGGAGAACTACAAACCACTGCTCAATGAAATAAGAGAGGACAAAAACAGATGGAAAAACATTCCATGCTCATGGTTAGGAAGAATCAATATCGTGAAAATGGCCATACTGCCCAAAGTAATTTACAGATTCAATGCTATCCCTATCAAGCTACTAATGACCTTCTTCATAGAACTGGAAAGAAACCACCTTAAACTTCATATGGAACTGAAAGAGAGCCTGCATAGCCAAGACAATCCTAAGCAAAAAGAACAAAGCCAGAGGCATCACGCTACCTGATTTCAAACTATACTACAATGCTACAGTAATCAAAACAGCAGGGTACTGGTACCAAAACAGAGATATAGACCAATGGAACAGAACAGAGGCTCTGGAGGCAACACCACACATCTACAACCATCTGATCTTTGACAAACTTGGCAAAAACAAGCAATGGGGAAAGGATTTCCTGTTTAATAAATGGTGTTGGGAAAACTGGCTAGCAGTGTGCAGAAAGCAGAAACTGGACCCCTTCCTGACAGCTTACACTAAAATTAACTCCAGATGGATTAAAGACTTAAACATAAGACCTAAGACCATAAAACCCTTAGAAGAAACCTAGGCAAAACCATTCAGGACATAGGCATAGGCAAGGACTTCCTGACTAAAACACCAAAAGCATTGGCAACAAAAGCCAAAGAGAGAAATGGGACCTAATTAAATTCCACAGCTTCTGTACAGCAAACGAAACAATCACTAGAGTGAACCCGCAACCAACAGAATGGGAAAAACATTTTGCAATCTACCCATCCGACAAAGAGCTACTATCCAGAATCTACAAAAAAACAAAAACAGATTTACAAGAGAAAAACAAACAAACCCATCCAAAAGTGGGAGAAGGATATGAGCAGACACTTTTCAAAGGAAGACATATATAAGGCCAACAAACATATGAAAAAATGTTCATTATCACTGTTTATTAGAGAAATGCAAATCAAAACCACATTGTGATCTCACCTCATTCCAATTAGAATGACGATCATCAAAAAATCTGGAGACAACAGATGCTGGAAAGGATGTGAAGAAATAGGAACACTTTTACACTGTTGAGGGGAGTGTAAACTAATTCCACTATTGTGGAAGACAGTGTGGCACTTCCTCAAGGACCTAGAAATAGAAATTTCATTTCACCAAGCAATCAGATTACTGGGTATATACCCAAAGGATTATAAATCATTCTATTATAAAGACACATGCACACATATGTTTATAGTGGCACTGTTTACAGTAGCAAAGACCTGAAACCCACCCAAATGCCCATCGATGATAGACTTGACAAGGAAAATGTGGCACATATACACCATGGAATACTATGCAGCCATAAAAAATGATGAGTTTGTGTCCTTTGTAGGGACATGGATGAATCTGGAAACCACCATTCTCAGCAAACTGACACAAGAACAGAAAATCAAACACTGCATGTTCTCACTCATAGGCAGTGTTCAACAATGAGAACACATGGACACAGGGAGGGGAGCATCACACACTGGGGTCTGTTGGTGGGGCCAACGGAGGGACAGCGGGGGGATGGGGAGGTTTTGGAGGGATAACATGGGGAGAAATGGCAGATGTAGGTGACAGGGGGATGGAGGCAGCAAACCACATTGCCAGGTGTGTACCTATGCAACAATCCTGCATGATCTGCACATGTACCCCAGAACTAAAAGTACAATAAAAAAATTTAAAGTAACTAAATGTGTTCATTAGGAATAAATATGGATGTAAATAACAAAAAACATTAGAAAGTAATACTCATAACATTTACCATCTTTAGTCCTGTAACTGGTCACATGACTACAGCTGGTTACTTATTTCTTTATTTACTTATTTATTTGAAACAGACTATTGTTCTGTTGCCCAGGCTGGAGTAAGTGCAGTGGCATTACCTTGGCTCACTGCAACCTCCACCTCCTGGGCACAAGTGATCCTCCTACCTGAACTTCCTAAGTAACTGGGACTACAAACACACTACCATGCCTGACTAATTTTTTCTATTTATTTTCAGTAAAGATGGAGTTCCAGCATGTTGCCCAGGTTGGCCTCACATTCCTAGACTTAAGCAATCCACTCACCTCAGCTTCCGAAGTGCTGAGATTACAGGCATGAGCCACTGTGCTGGCCACAACTAGTATTTATAAATACTTTTTTTTTTTAACTGACGATCCTATATTCCCATTGTCTTCAGCAAGTCTCTCAGCTGATCAGGTTTCTTTTCCTGCTTAGGTGACTCAAACCTTCATTCCTGAAGGGTATGTCTCATTAGTAGTCCTACCTGACTTGGGCTGTTGTAGTTTATACTGACTTTAATTATAGGGCAGAGTATTACTAAGAGATGCTCTAAGAGATCTTGTGTGTTCCAGACATAGTCTTACTTACTGCCACTGTGTAGTTGCAGAACAATTTCCCCCACCATGACCAAAACCATTCACCCAGACAGTGCAGTAATTCCTTCCTTTGTTTGCTGATTCAGAATCATAAGGAACTGAAGGGGCTGGGTGGCTGTCTTAGCTTCCAGCTCAATGGAATCATTTCTGTGTCTCCTGAGGGAGCATTCCTCCTTTCGCTAAACCTCTAGATTCTGGTCCTGTTCCTCCTGACTGGGCAGGACCTCCCAGCCAGGGTCTCTAGCAACTCCTACAGGTGTGTTCAGGCTGGCAACAGGTCTATACTTTTCTGGAAAAGATCTCTCAGAGGAAGAAGCAGACTGCCATCTTTGCTGTTATGTAGTCTTCACTGGTGATACCTCCAGGTACTGGAAAATCCGAGGCAACTAGGGACTAGAGAAGGCCCCCTACAGAAAAGTGGCCAGACTGTTGAAAGAGATGACAAAAGAAAAGAAAAACAAAACCCATTCAAAGGTCAACAACTTCAAAGATTGAAGGTAGATACGGAATCCACAAAGTTGATAAGAAATCAGCAAAGGAATGTTGAAAACTAAAAACCCCAGTAAGGCCTTGGGGTTTGGAACCAGGCTAAGGTTGAGATGGCTGAAACAACAGAAGTAGAATTCAGAATATGAAAAGAAAAGAATGAAGTTCACTGTGCTAAAGGAGTGCGCTGTAACCCAATGCGAGGAAGCTAAAAATCATTATGAAACATTGCAGAAGCTGACAGATGAAAGAACCAGTATAAAGAAGAACATGACCAATCTGACAGAGCTGAAAAACACACTATGGGAATTTCATAATGCACTCACAAGTATTAATAGCAGTATAGAGCAAGTGGAGGAAAGAACTTCAGTGCTTGAACACTGGCTTTCTGAAATAAGACAGGAAGCCAAGAATAGAGAAATAAGAAGGAAAAGGAATGAATAAAATTTCTAAAAAGCATGGGATTATGTAAAGAAACCAAACCTAAGAAAAATTGGTGTATCTGAAAGAGATGGGGAGAATAGAACCAATTTGGAAAACATTTCAGGATGACATCCATTGGAACTTCCCCACCATAGCTAGACAGGCCACCATTCAAATTCAGAAATGCAGAGGACCCCAGTAAGTTATTCCATGAGAATATTATCTCTAAGACACATATTCTTCAGATTCTCCAAGGTTGAAATGAAAGAAAAAATGTCAAGGACATCCAGAGAGAAAGGCCAGATCATCTATAAAGGGAAGCCCATCAGACAAACAGTCGATCCCTCAGTGGAAATCCTACAAGCAGAAAAGACTGAGGGCCAATATGCAACGTTCTTAAAGAAAAGAATTTCCAAGCCAGAATTTTATATCCAATGAAACCAAGCTTCATAAGCAAAGGAGAAATAAGATTCTTTTCAGACAAACAAATGCCAAGGGAATTCATTACTACCAGACCTGCATTACAAGAACTCCTGAAGGAAGCACTAAATATGGAAAGGAAAATCAGTTACCAGCCACTACAAAAACACACTAAGTATACAGACTAGTGACACAATAAGGCAACCACATAAGCAAGTCTGCAAAGTAACCAGCTAACATGATAATGAAACTATCAAATCCATACATATCAGTATTAACCTTAAATGTAAATTAGCTAAATGCCCCATTTAAAAGACATAAAGGAGCAAGCTGGAAAAAGAACCAAGATCTATCAGTATGCTGTCTTCAATATACCTATCTCACATGCAGTGACATACATAGGCTAAAAAAAAAAAAAAAAAAAAAAGACAGAGGAAAATTCACCAAGCAAATGGAAAGCAGGAAAAAAGGCAGGGTTGTAACCCTAGTTTCTGACTAAACAGGTGTTAAACCAACAAAGATCAAAAAAGACAAAAAAGGGCATTACATAATGGTAAACGGTTAAATTCAACAAGGAGATCTATCTATCCTAAATATATATGCATCCAATATAGGAACACCCAGATTCATAAGGCAGGTTCCTAGAGACCTTCAAAGAGACTTGGAATCTCACACAATCATAGTAGAAGACTTTAATACTCCACTGAAAATATTAGACACATCATTAAAACAGAAATTAACAAAGATTTTCACGACCTGAACTCAGCCCTGGATTGAATGGACCTGATCAATATCTGCAGAACTCTTCACCCCGAAACAACAGAATATACATTTTTCTCATTGCCACATGGCGCTTACTCTAAAATGCATCATACAGTTGGAAGTAAAATACTCCTCTTCAAATGCAAAAGAATTGAAATCATAACAAACATTCTCTTGGACCACAGTGCAATAAAATTTAAAATCAAGATTAAGAAAATCACTCAAACCATACAATTACATAGAAATAGAATAACTTGTTCTTGAATTACTTTTGGGTAAATAATGAAACTGAAGCACAAATTAAGAAGTTATTTGAAGATAATGAGAACAAAGACACAACATACCAAAATCTCTTGGAAACAGCTAAGGCAGTGTTAAGAGGAAAATTTATGGCGTTAAATGTTCACATCAAAAAGTTAGAAAGATTTCAAGTTAACAAACTGAAATCACAACCAGAAGAACTTGAGAACAAAGAGCAAACATATCCCAAAGATAGAAGACCAGAAATAACCAAAATATTAACAAAGGTATTGTCTCCTGAAGGAGACAGAGAAGTGAAAAATCACTTAAAAGATCAACAAATTCAGGTGGTTTTTTAAAATTAATAAACTAAATGGAGCCCTAGCTAGGCTAATAAGGAGGAAAAGAGAGAAGATTCCAATAAACACAATTAGAAACAGTAAGAGGAACATTATAATTGACCCCACAGAAACACAAGCAACCATAATTAGAAACAGTAAGAGGATAATATTATGAACACCTCTACGCACATAAACTAGAAAATCTAGAATACAAGGATCAACTCCTGGACACATACACCAGCCCACCACACTGAATGAGGACGAAATTGAATCCCTGAACAGACTAATGAGTTCTGAAATTGAGGCAGTAATAAACAGCCTACCAACCAATAAAAGCCCAGAACATGATGATTGACAGGTGAATTCTATTAGATGTACAAAAAATAGCTGATACCATTCCTACTGAAACTATTTCCAAAAAATGTGAAGGAGAGACTTCTCTTTGACTTATTCTATTAGGCCAGCATAATCCTGATGCCAAAATGTGGCAGAGATACAACAAAAACAACAACAACAAAACTTCAGGCCAACATTCTTGATGAACATTGATGACAAAATTTCCAACAAAATGCTGGCCAGCTGAATCCAGCAGCACATCAAAAAGCATCACCCACCACAGTCAAGTAGGTTTCATTCCCAGGATGCAAGGTTGGTTCAAAATATGTAAATCAATAAATGGGCTTGATTACATAAACATAACTAAAGACAAAAACCACATGGTTATCTCAGTAGACACAGAAAAAGCTTTTGATAAAATTCAACATCTAATCATGTTTTTAAAAAGCTCTCAATAAACTAGGTAGTGAAGGAACACACCTCAAAACATTAAACACCATCTGTGATAAACCCACAGCCAGCATCATACTGAGTGGGCAAAAGCTGGAAGCATTCCCCTTGAAAACCAACACAAGACAAGGATGCCTTCTCTCACTACTCCTATTCAACATAGTTTTGGCCAGGGAAATCAGGCAAGAGAAATAAAAAGTATTCAAATAGGAAGAAAGGAAGTCAAACTATTCCTGTTTGCAGATGACATGATTCTATATCAAGAAAAACCCATAGTCTCAGCCCAAAAGCTTCTTAAGCTGCTAAACAGCTTCAGCAAAGTCTCAGGATACAAAATCAATGTGAGAAAATTACTAGCATTTCTACACACCAACAACAGGTAAGCTGAGACCCAAATCAGGAATGAACTCCCATTCACAAATGCCACAAAAAGAATAGAATATCTAGGAACATAGATAGCTTGGGAGATAAAAGATCTCTACGAGAACTGTAAACCACTGTTCAAAGAAATTGGAGATGATGCAAACAAATGGAAAAACTACCTATGCTCATGGATAGGAACAATCAACATCATTAAAAAGGCCATACTGCCCAAAGCAATGTGTAGATTCAATGCTACTTCTATTGAACTACCACTGACATTCTTCACAGAGCTAGAAAAAGCTATTTTAAAATTCACATGAAACCAGAAAAGAGCCCGAATAGCCAAGGCAATCCTAAACAAAAGGAACAAAGTTGACAGCACCACACTGATTTCTTTTTTCTGGTGTTTTTTTTTTTTTTTGAGACAGAGTTTCAACCTGTCTCCCACA